TGAAAAAGCCGCGGAGTGAGCTCGTGTTCGAGGGGCAGAGGCATCGGCATGGGACTTGGACGGGTGAGCACTGCTGTTTGTGGGTCAAAGGCACATACTCGAGTTGGCGATGCTCTTTAATGACCCAGTAGTTGGTGGCGCTCTTTCAGCCGCCCTCTGTCAGAACCTGGGTGCTGCAGCCCCTGAAATCCGCTGTTGTGTGGATGCTGTAAACTTTGTGGCTGAGAGCACACGAGACCAGGAAGCCAACGGAGAGGTGGGTTAGGTTGAGGGAGAGTGGCGCTTTGGCGGTGCCCTCCTTCCCTCCCTGTTGCTAAGCTGTGTCTCACAGGAAGTGTCCGACTGGGTGCGCATGGGGAAGGCCCTCGACAACGTCTGCTTTTGGGCAGCTTTGGTACTCTTCAGCGTCGGTTCCTGCCTCATCTTCCTTGGGGGTTACTTCAACCAAGTTCCTGATCTCCCTTACCCACCGTGTATCCAACCATGAGCCTGCGCCAGCACCCACTTCACCCCTCCCCCTGCAAGAAGTTGAATTTGAAAACAGGCTGACAATAAAATAACCTCTAGGACAGAGTTTGCCTTGCTTCACTGTCACTACCTCCTGGCTCCTGTGATCCATCTGACCTAGTTGATAGCCAATGGGGCTTTGCACAGACTTAGACATAGGAACCCTGAAGCCAGAACTCTGCCCTGCCTTGCTGGAGCTGGTAAAGTGTCCCACAGGTTTACGACCGACGGGCAGCCGATGCCCTGGCCTTCTCTGTCATGTCTTCTAGGTTTCCTGGCCTAGCACCATCACCTCACTTCATCTCCATGAGACTTCCTCCACAGATCCAATTCCTCTCCTCCACCCTCTGCATCTCCCACTCTGAAAGTGCTCCCTGGAAAGACAGCGTTCAGGACTGAGAGAAAACCATGGTGGGAGCTGGTTGAATTAATTGTCTTTATTAACAAACGGGTTTCCAAGGCCACTACATTGAGAAAGGATACAGGAAGGAAGGGCTACTTGCTGCTCACACTATATACAGATGCAAGCAAGGGGATATGGAGGGTCCCAGCGCTGAGCTCTCCCTCTAGGGAAGGGGGAGAGGCTGGGGGAGGGTGGGAAAGAAGGAATGTTTTGGCTGTGGGGTCCCTCCTCCATTCCCTGGGACCTGGGGGGAGGGGAATCATTAATATAATTTCAGAAAATGAGGACATGGTCCCTGCCTCTGGAGTGGCTGGTGACCCCCCAGAACCCAGGGCCCAGTGACCCCCCCCATTTTCTGGTACATTCAAGGGGGGAGCCAGCTCCCCTGGCGTGCAAATAAAGGGGTACAGGGCCCTGCTCAGTCAGCAGCAATGGGGTAAGGGAGTCCAAGCCCCGAGCACTCTCCTCTTAAGTGGAGAAAAGGGGCGGGGCAAGTCCCACTCAGTTCCTGGTAAGGGGAAGCTGTGTCATTCTTTCCCCACAAGTTGGGGACAGGCACAGTTTTGAAAACATGTTGGGAGAAAGGATGGTCACGTGATCACAAAAGCTTCAGGGATCAGAGGTCACGTTCCCAGCAGGCTCCAGTGAATCAAACCAGTAAAAGCAAAAGCCCAAGGGGAGGGGAGGGGGCAGGGACGGGCGGCCTGGGTAGTCTGGCTGTGGGGAGGAGAGCTGGGTCCATGTTGGGGAGCCCCAGCCCAGGGGCCTCGTCACCAGTTCATGATGCAGTTACGGTTCAAAGTCATAAAGTAAACTTGGCTGCTTCCCCCAGAGCGGACTGAGGCAAAAAACACCTGGATGAGATAGAAAAGCGATCACCAAGGGCTAAAGTGTGTGTCTGTGGGTGGGGGATCCTCAACTAGGAAAGGGATGAGGACGTGAGAGAAACCACCCCCAATGAAAAGGAGAGGTGTGTTACCGGACCCCTGGGGGAAAGGCAGCTGGACCCTGGGGCAGGAGGATAGCAGCTCTGAGGGCTTCCAGAGGGGGTGGCTGCTTTGAGGAGAAGGCAGAAGCAACCCCCAGATGTGCCCAGCAAAGGTCTGGAGAGCTGGTCTGGCACAGGACGCACTGCCTCACCTTATCATTCCGCTCACACAGGAACTTAAGCCTCTGGGCTCGCTTGTGCATGAAGACCCCGTCTAGGTGGCCCGTCTCCACAGAGCGGATCTCAATGGCTTTCTCACCCCAGCCCATTATCTGGTTGGAGCAGATGTAGGCTGAAGGGAGAAGATGGTAGAGAGGCTGTAAGGAGGTTGTGGTCCTGGTCACCTTA